AAGGATTGTTTGATTGTCTTCTTCTTTTTGTTCTTAAACTATTTTGCAGAATAGTTAATGAAATATATATTTTTTGTATTTTTTATTTTAAAAATTAAAAGTCAAAACATAAAACAAAGATAAACTTATTTAACAAGACCTGTTTTGTAAAAATAGTTCTAGAAATTATAACTATTTTTAATTTTTAGAATCAAATTTAGAGAACACAAGTCTTGTTTGAATTCTGTTATAAAAAATTGTTTTTAATTTTTAGAACAAAAAAACAAAAAATCCAATTTGATAAGGTCTGTTTTGTAAAAATAATTCTAAAAATTATAACCGTTTTTTAGTTTTTAAAATCAAATCTAGAGAACATATATAAGGTGTTTTTGTTTTATGTTTTAACTTTTACTTTTAAAACAAGGAAAACACAGAAAACATCTATTTTATTAACTATTTTACAAAATAATTTTAAAAAGAAAAAAAACTGAACCCAATCAAACACCTATCTGCTACCTTTCTGAGCATGTAATAAATTTAGGATTTTTTTTTTTTTTTAACAATGGCGTTCTCTTCACATCATGTCGATTGAAGTTATATTTATTTTTTAAAAAGAGTGGGCTTTGGTAATCCGCATATGAATTTAACTAATAAATTAGTAGTAATAGTATGCAAAAAAGAGTTTGCTTAGTCTTAAAATATATTCACCCTGTGGGCATAAATTAACAGTCTGAACATAGGCGGGTCTATATAGTATTCCCAAAGATTTTATAATATATTTTTGGGTTATTTTTTTTTGCAGTAAATGCAGATAAGATATTTGTATTGAACTCAAAACGACATCGTTTTAGGGGTGAAAATTAAGGTATTTTTTTAATTATTATTATTATTTGGTAAAATGTAATTATAATTTATTCTAACGTTATAATATATAGTTTTTATCATTATAATTTTTTAATTTTTTAACCCAAAACGATGTTGTTTTGAGAGTGAATGTAGATAACTTCTCTATATTCACTATAAAAATATTAAAGCCTACATTTTTAATGAAAACATCTATTCCTATTTTCTTTTGTCTATTATTATTCTCTTTTGAATAGTTTCTTTGAAAAGTATCCTTTTACTCTTTTAATTAATTAGCGGAACAAAAAGTGGTGTATAATTCTGAATGAATTCAAGAGTGGTGAATTGAGTTTATAATTTTTTTCAATTAAATCAATGCTAATAATAATGTTTACCATTAAAGAAAATAACACAGAGGTAACACTGTAATTACACGAGAAAAATTTCAAAAGGAGGAAAAAAATCCATGACCCCAAACAAGATAGCTATAAACAATTAGGAGACAAATCCACTAATAATGAGTCAAACTCAATAAAAAGTTCAAGAATAGAACTTATTCTACCTTTATACAAAAATTCAACCCTACCTTTAGATTTAGGCACCATAATTTACTATAGTAAACGGTGCCCTTCTTGTCAAACCCTTGTTAATATCTTAACACAATTTCAGCTTAACTTTAAGGCAAAAGTATAAGTCCTCATTATCACTAGATAATTGCTCACCAATTGCTTACTCCGATAATAGCTAAAATAAATGAACAATTTTTCAAATATCTTACATGCTTGTAATCAATAAGCAAATAAGTACAGAGTTACACTATTAGAGATTCACGTCCAGCTCCTGCCTTTGATTTCCAAATTTTCCCCTTTATATTAATACCAAAGCTATTTTGTTTTTTTGATTAAAATGGAATTCTTTCTTTTTCTAATTTTATCTTATTTGATGAAAAAAATTCTTAACATAAAGGATTTGGTTAAAAACTAATTTTCTAAAGAAAAACAAATTTGCTTAACGAAGGTTTTTCTAATAAAAAAATAATTTAGTTGTTCATGATAGAAAATCAAAACTGATTTCAATTCAATCCCTAAATACTTTGGCAATCAGAGGCAGTAGAGAGGAATCAAAATCTCTTTTGCATAAAATGTATGATATCTTCATTCAATCCTTATTCTTCCGAGACTTTAATCCTTCAAGCAAATCACAAGTTAAATCATGCAGCAAATCTTCAAAAATTAAACAAATAGTTAGATAACTTAACTTCACTTGTTTGTTATCATTAAAAGTAGACAAGGTGTGGGACCCAACATGGCTAACGCTACTAAAAATTAGCTTATTTATGACCGACATTATTCGTTGCAAATGAGAAAAATTCAATCGCAAAGAGTGTTTTGCAAGGAAATTTGCTACGAAAAAAGTCATCGATGAATCCCTCGTAGCAAATGAATTTTGTGACAGACAAATAGGTCTGTCGTAACTTGCAATGAAATCAAATCATCGCAAAGTTGTCAATTTTCCTCCCAAATGGCTAACATGGAAATGAAAAATTGACATTTTATTTCACCATAAGCGGCGACAAGGCTCCCTTCAAAAATCCATCACGACTAGACTATTGAATTTGCAAAGGCATTCTAAACAATCTTGTCACAAATTTGTGACAAAATTATATGATGAAGCCATCACAACATTTGCGACGGCATTAGAAACGATCACATCACGTTTTCATAATTTTCCATTGCAAATTGACAAACATGAAAAAAAATGTTTGAAATTCATGTATTTTCTTACCTGCAAATGACAACCACATAACAATAACAACAACACAAGAATAAAAGCAACAAGTAACACAAAATGAAAAAACAATAATAATGCATAACATAATAAGTCATTACATAACTATCCAGAACTGAATAACGAAAATAAAAATAATCATAACAAAATGAAATAACAACAATAATAATATTAAACAATACAAAAAGAGTCGTCTAGTCATCAGAGGAGTCATACGAAGATACGTGAGGCTCTGGATCCATTTTCGTCATCTTCTTCTCCTTCTTCTTCATCAATCTGGTAAGTAATGCTTGCATCTCATCCAACTTCTGTTGTTGAGCAAACAACTATTGTGACTAAGCCTGAATTTGAGCCTGTAGTTGGGACCTTGTCTCTTGACTTTCATCAGCTGAATGTTTTTCTGTACTTAATTAAATGGATTAGGTTGTAAAAATGCTAAACAATTTAGGGCCATTTACCTTGAGATACACCATAAACCTGACTGGAGGTTGGCTTGCTGCTCTTGTATGATAGATCCTTCTAACCCAAACACTTTTTTTTTTTTTAATTAAATCCACCAGCAACCTAAAGGAAGAGATCATTATCGGACTAAGAGGTGCACCATCTGGCATCTGCGTCGCTCTCTCTTGCTGTAGCTTCTAGTTGTTGGACAAATGGCTTCTTTACTTAGGATGTGGAAGAACACCTAGAAGGGGTAGGGTAATAGGTGTTTCCAAATTTTTCAAATACTTTTTGCAAGTAGATCCTTAAAAATGATATACCTAGACAAAGTTGAACTTAACAGTTCAATCATCACACCAACACAACAAGATTGACTGTTGTCAAATTATTTTACTATTTCTGTATAGATAATAGTCAGACAATTAACACAGTGTTATGATTTTATTAACAGTCTCTATATGCCCAAATGCTAACACACTCCTAAATGAATGTGTTAAAGCAAATAAATTGTACCTAACCTTTTTATAGAGAGTAAATGCAACAAAGGAAACTTTCTTACAGAGAAAGTAAAATGTTAATTTCCAAATATCATAGAATCTAATAAACTGCTACAACATTTTATATTAACCCAAAAGCAACTATTGCAATATCAGCCAAAATTTAGTGTTACTTTCTGTCTTAATACAAAAAATTCATAATTAAAGAGCAGAGACAGAAGACACATGATATATCCTGATTCACTCCCCATTGTGTAATGGGATGCCACATTCAGACTGAAGTAGTTGCGGATATTTTAGTGATCACAAATTACCGTTTTACAAACACGCGTCATATAGGCAATTAAACAAAATATCAAAAATCTTCCTAGTATCTACATCTATTTCTTTTGTTCTATATAAAGATAATAGTATTTTAACATAGCTTCTTCACATCCACTTTTTCAATATTTTCAATTATATTAATATAATCAGAAGCATATACTTCAACCGTGTACATATCTTTGCTCGCATTCAATGTCACTATTATTCCAAAGTTTAAAATTTTTCTTTAAATGATTAAACGTGAAAGCATTATGGGTCAAGTCTAAATTTTGTCAAAATGAAAAACCTTTTGACACTTGGTGAAGCTACTAGATATGAGATTACAAGCAATGTTGTCAAACTCGAGTTTCTACGTAGAAATGGAAATGGGTGGTAGAAACGTAAAACGTAAAAACGACACGAAATGTAAAGTTTCTACTTTCTACTAGGGGTGAAAGTGGGCTGGGCTGGGCCGAGCTTTGCTTCGAAAAGCCCAAGCCTATTTAAAAAAAATTAATTTAGCCCGGCCCAAGCCTAGCACGAGTCTAAATGTTAGCCTGGCTTGACCCGTTTATAAAAAAACAAAAAGCCCGGCTTGGCCCATTAGCCTGTTAATTTTTAACTTTCAAGCAGAACCATAAATCAACTTCACAAAATATTCAAATTCTGTTGCTAAAACAAAAATAACAATTTTAATGTCCAAACAAAACCATGAACACAACAAAACTCATCATAATCTGCATTTAAGTCACTTTCTAAAGCAAAATGCTCAAACTAAATAAAATATATTTCATCAGATCCAACAAACAAATCTATACTATGTAAATTAAAATAACTATATGAATTCAACAAACACATCATGATTCTTGTATTAGCCAAAAACTTCTCTTCATCTTCTCTCCCCTACAAATACAATTCCAATATTACATAAGTTGGCAAATAATTTGTAAATGTAGAAAACAAAAAAAAAAAGAATAAAGAATAGAAACAAAAAAATAGGATTAAGAAATAAAAAACCTTTTAATAGATTCATATAGGCAATCTCACATGCTGAGATGTTGGTTCCTCCTACATAAAAAATAAAGTCAAATTTCTATTAAAATTTAATTGAATATAATTAAATTATATAATAATTTTAATTGATTAAATTTATACCTTTTGTTTTTTCTTCAAGTTATACCTATTACGTAGCCAATCTCCACCACATATTAAAGCTTGGATCGTATCTTCAGCCAAGCTAGAACGATACGCATCAATAACTCTTCCTCCAGCACTAAATGTTGATTCTGATGCTACTGTAGAAATTGGTACAGCTAGTATGTCTCTTGCCATTTGTGATAAAATTTTATACTTTAAGCTATTACTCCTCCACCATTCCAAAGCATCAAATGAAAGATGAGATTTTTCATGATATTCATAAACACTTTCTTCAAGATATAACTTCAACTCTGACTTTGCTGCGGGAATAGATTCATGTTCATGCACAATGCTCATGATTTGGTCAAACCCAGAGGTAGAGCCACGTGGAACTTGAGTAAAGAGAGTAGAAGAGGATATGTTCATCCTAGATCCCACCTGACTATCAGAGGATGACTCCTTCAAACATAAAGCTGAATATTCATTATATAAAGCTTCTAAAGCTTCACTCACCTTATACATGTTAAATTGTGCCTCGTATTCTGATTTGTATATAAGTGGAAAGCAAATTTTCACCACATGGAATTTACATCGTGGGTCTAAAACACTAGCAACGGCCATCAACATATTGCATTCCCCCCAATATTTATCAAATTTATCTTTCATAAACCTTGCCATTCCTCTCATAAAATCATAATTGTCTTCAGCTGCAGCATCAATCACTTGTTTCACCCTAAACACTTCAGGAAGGTATAAATTTGCTGTAGGATATTGAGTACCTGACATAACATTAGTAGCATGAGTGAAAACTTCTAAAAGATGGCATACCTTTTCAACCTTTTCCCAATCTTCAGTTGATGGCAAATAATTATAATGTGGCTCCCACTCCTTATATTCTGGAAAAACATCTTTAAATTTAGAAGCAACAGATAACATTTCATATGTTGAATTCCATCTGGTGGGACAATCAACAACTAGTTTCCTTTCTTTTACACCCATCTTCTTGACAATATCGCAAAAAGTCTTCAATCTTGAGTCAGAATGATTAACATATTTGACACTTTCACGAACATTTTCAATGATACCTTTGATCTGACTAAGACCATGTTGCACTAGCAAATTCAATATATGAGCACAACATCTCACATGAAATAGTTGTCCACCAAGGACTAAATTAGTGTTTCTTGCTAATGTGCTTTTCAAATTTCTTATACAAACATCATTATAGGCTGCATTGTCCACAGATACTGAAAATATCTTATTTTCAATTCCCCATAATTGCAGACATTTAAAAATTGCATCAGCGACATCAACTCCACGCCTTGGAGGTGGAACCTTAACAAAACTCAACACTCGCTTTTGCAATTTCCATTCTGAATTAATAAAATGGCCAGTGATGACCATATATTCAGCTATTTGGTGACTAGACTTCCACATATCAGTGGTTATACTGATCTTTTTCACACCCATCAATAAAGCCTTTAGACTTTTCTTTTCTGCCTCATATAATGCAATACAATCTTTTCTTGCAGTAATACGCGAAACTTTCTCAAATTCAGCATTCGCAAACTTAAAGGCCCACATCCAAACATCGTCCTCCACAATACTGAAAGGATACTCGTGAATCATAATTGCAGTAGCAATAATTTCTCTCATCTTTTCATTGGTGTACATCCCCCCGGGTGCAAGAAAAGGATTCAAAGTAGAACCTGTAGGCTGGAATGATAAAGTGGTCTGCTTCTTCACGGATTGGTCCAATTTCCTATTCAAGCAATTTTGTGAATGCCTCCTTAGATGACTAGTGCTACCTCCAATTCCCCCAGTTGCAAATTTTTGTTTGCAGTAGTTACAAACTGCTTTACGCCCAACATTAGGAATGTCCATTTCATGAAAATCATTCCAAACTGCAGAAGTTTTTCGCCTCTTTTTCACCAAGCTTGGATCTTCAGATTCTTCACCTTGTGGGACTGGTTCATTACTTCCATCTTGATTAGAAGCCATCTGTTTGAAAATGAAAATGCATTTGATGTTATATCAAAATTCTATATTCAAATCTTGCAATGTATATATTAAAAAACTAGCATTGTTCTCACCAGATTCAACAACAAGAATGGCTAATTGAACAGGGTTGATGATGGCAAAAAATTGTTTGACTGCAAATGCCTCCCAAGTTAGAAACCGTAAATGTACCCTGCAAATGGCGTCCACAAATATTATTAGCTATATAATAATGTGAAAGAGAATATGTGTATGCTTCCGTCTTTAGCTCAGCCTTTAACTATCAACTTAACAAATATAAAAAAAAAAGTAAAACTCATTTTGGGTCCCTAACAAAAAATACGGTTCTTACTTTAGTCTCTTACAAAAAAATATAGTCGTCTGGTCTCTATGAAATTTAAAGCAGACTCATTTTAGTCCTTTTGATGGACTAATTTGAATCTTTTTTGAATTTGTGTAGGATCACTATTTCAACTAAATGAGTCTACTTTGAATTTCTTAGGGATCTCAGGACTATTTTTTTTTTAAGGAACTAAAGTGAGAACCGTGTTTTTTGTTTGAAACCCAAAAACGGGCTTTACTCTATAAAAAATTGACTAAACTACTAGAAATAGTTAACAAAAAATTGAACATAATAATTAAATAACATAAACAGTAGTATAATATTAACAAACGACATAAATAATAAAATACAAGTAAATTACATAAAGAATTAGTGAATTCAAAAACTTTTTTTTTGTGAACGTGAATTCAAAAACTTACTAAATGATAAATGGGAATGACATTAACATATTTAAATTAATTATTAAATAATAATTAACAACAAATAACGAATATAAATATATATAACGATATAATAAATGGTGGAATCGTTGATGAGAGGAGGATCCATTTGGAATTGTGTACTGATTTTCTTGTATTGTGTTGTGTACACAATTGTACTTTGGGTGATAGTGAGTGAGTCAGAGAGTGAGAATAAGGGTTGGGGTTTATTTAATTGTAATTAGGAGAGAAGAAGAAGAAAATGGGGGTTTGAAGGATTGAGACAGTTAGAGGATGATGATGACAGCATTGGAAGAGAGAGAGAATATGAGTATCACAATTTACATACAGAATGTGATTGTGATGTACAATACATGACAAAAACTGATTTGTTAATTTAGAAAATGTCTCCGGTACAGTACAACATATATATATATATGGTTGAGTTGTACAGTACAACAAATATATATATACAATTTGTCACGTTGTTATTAACAAAACATAAGAACAGATAAATTTATTTGTACAGTAAAACATAACAACTTGTACTAATGTAAACAATCGACGACAAATTAAACCTATATAAAAAAATAACAAAAAGTCTCCAGTAACAAGGATAGTATCAAAGAACAAGGATAATAATAAATGGTTGAACTAATAAAAAAATCAACAATAATATTTTCTATCAAATAATAAAGCGTATGGATGGCATTGGCGTATATTAAGACAAACGAATCAAACCTTGTGGATGGAGTCTAATTCCACGAGATCGATTTCATAGACTCAGATAGCAACCTGTGCGGCTGTGCCCTAGTCCCTAGAGAATAGTGAAGATACTCTTTATATGCAATAAAGTATAGCGTGAGTCTATGACCTTGGGCTATCGCAATTGGTATGGAACCGGTGATAAAAAAACGAGGATGAATAATTGGGCTAGCCTGGAGGCTCACGAGCCAGGCTCATTATATTAAGATTCCGGCCCAATTAGTAAACAAACTTTTAAAACAGCCTAAGCCCAATATGTTAACTAACAAGGCTGGGCCAAGCCAGGCCAGTGATGGGCCAGGCTGTAGGCCCCTGTAGGCCGGCCCGGCCCAGTTTCACCCCTACTTTCTACCACTTAAGGTCAAGATACAAAATTTTATATATGCAAGTAAAAAAAAATCACATAATAAACATGTGAGTTGAGCCACTTATCTATCTAAAAAGGAAAATTATTTTTCATAACCAAGTATCAAAATTATAAACAGTGATAATTAACAAGTAATAGATAACCAATCTGCTCTAACTGCTTTATACACTCTGCAGATTTTAGATCATCTCTCATCAAGATATAATTTCACATCTTTCAATGCACACACTGATCCAAAAACACAAAACGATTCTTATAACATAACTTATAATAGAATTGTAACTTTATAAGACATAATTATAAAAAACATATATCCAAACAAAAAGATATTAAGAAATGTGAATATGATTTGGGGAAAATGAATACTAGTTTTTTTTAATTTTTTTTGGTAAATCTTTTTTTTTATTAAACTTTTAGTTTTAAGTAAAAACGGTCAAAACGTAAATTTTTACCATTTTTATGTTTTTACATGGCGTTTCTACCAATTTTTACCAAAGACCGTATTTACTTGAGTTTTAACACGGACCACTATAGTAAAAACGTAACTTTTTATATTTTTACACTAATTTTTAACAACAATGATTACAAGTGCACAAAATGTGTGGCCAGCAAGAATTATTTCTTTAGTCAGATAGATAAAATTTTGACTCTGTTGGGCTTTGTGAAATTTTACTTTAGGAGACATTGAAAGGCCCAAGTCAGTAAGGAAATATCACAAAGAGCACTGATGCATTAGTGGCCCAGCCTACGTTTCTGTCTGAACTCAAGCACTTTTAATTGATTTTTTTTTCCTCTCTCTTCTTCCCTTTTGGGATTTCAAATGAAAATATCTGAATTAAGCATTATCCTAGCGGTGAAGCTTCCTTTGAATCGTAACTGTTAAAAAATATACTCAACATACTAGCAGATAAAGGATACTATCAGATACAGGAAAAATTGCTTCATTGAATTTCTTTCCTCAATTGAGGTCTTATAAATACACAAAACAGATATACAAGGAGCAACAATCCACAATCTTAAAACAATCTAAACAGCCTCTAACAGAAAGATATACACCAGTTGTTTCTAAACAAACTCAAACAATATTATCTATTCTTTACAACAGAAACAAACTGAGAAACAAACTCAAACAGTATTTCAAAATTGAACTTCAAGTTTAACACTCCCCCTCAAGTTGGTGCATGGATATCTATCATGCCCAACTTGCTAATCACTTCCTCTAAAGCTCTTCCAGATACTGCTTTAGTTAATATATCAGCCACCTGGTCTTCGGATCTGATATAAGGGGTTTTGATTATTTGATTGTCCAATTTTTCTTTGATAAAGTGCCTATCTACCTCAACATGCTTTGTTCTATCATGTTGCACTGGATTGTGAGCAATTTCTATCGCAGCTTTGTTATCACAGAATAGACTCATTGGTTGGTCAACACTGAATCCCAAATCACACATAATAGCTTTAATCCATAACAATTCACAAATTCCATAGGCCATTCCTCTGAACTCAGCTTCAGCACTAGATCTAGCCACTACTTTCTGTTTTTTACTTCTCCATGTAACCAAGTTTCCTTCTACAAAAGTGAAATACCCGGAGGTAGATTGTCTAGTAGTGTTGTCTTCTGCCCAATCTGAATCTGTATACCCTTCAATGGTTCCTTTTTCATGCTTAGCAAATAACAATCCTCTGCCAGGGGATCCTTTAAGGTACCTCAGAATCCGAAACAATGCTTTCATATGATCTTCACTGGGGAAATGCATAAATCTGCTTATTATACTGACTGCATAGGCTATATCTGGCCTAGTGTGTGATAAATAAATTAATCTTCCAACTAACCTTTGATAAAGACTGACATCTGCTTGAATTTGGTCCGGATATATGCCGAGTTTATGGTTCATTTCCATGGGACTGTCAGCAGGCTTGCAGCCCAACATTCCGGTTTCTGATAAAAGGTCTAAAGTGTATTTTCTTTGAGATAAAACAATACCTTGCTGCGATCTAGCAACCTCAATACCCAGAAAATACTTCAATTGCCCAAGATCCTTCATTTCGAACTCACTGGCCAGCTGATGTTCAAGAGATTTCATTTCTTCTTCATCATCTCCAGTCAATACCATATCATCAACGTAGACTATTAGGATGGTTATTTTCCCTTTCTGGCGCTTGAGGAATAAAGTATGGTCTGCATTACTTTGTTTGTACCCGAATTTCTTCATTGCAAGAGAGAATCTCCCAAACCATGCTCTTGGTGACTGTTTGAGCCCATATAGAGCCTTTTTTAGCTTGCACACTGTTTGTTCACTTGAAGATGAGAGCTTCACTCCAGGTGGAATATCCATATACACTTCTTCTTCCAAGTCCCCATTTAGGAATGCGTTTTTCACATCATATTGCTTGAGGGGCCAATCTCTATTTGCTGCTAGAGAGATCAGGATTCGGATGGTATTGAGCTTGGCTACCGGAGCAAACGTTTCTTGATAGTCCACGCCATATTTCTGAGTGTACCCTTTTGCAACTAATCTGGCCTTGTATCTATCAATGCTCCCATCAATCTTCAGTTTCACATTGAATACCCATTTGCAGCCAACAGTCTTCTTCCCATTTGGTAAGGAGGTTAATTCCCAAGTAGAGTTCTTCTGGAGTGCTGCCATTTCTACATTCATAGCCTCTTTCCACTTAGGATCATCCAATGCTTCCTGTACACTATTCGGAATACAAACACTAGATAATTGTTTTACGGTTAGAACACATGATTTGGACAGTTTTTGAGTGGATACATGGTTGCTGATTGGGTACTTAGCTTTTGCTTTTGGGTCAGGCTCATAGAAATGTTTGGGTATTCCTTTGTTATTTCTGGCAGATCTTCTTATTTGTGGGGTAGGAACAGAAGGTAAAACAGAATCAATGGGATCAGAATGTACCTCAATATTGTCTTCAGGCTGTCCTTCAGGGAATTCAACAGAAGATGTCTCGGGTATGTGTGTTAGATTGGGTGCTTCAGTGAGGGGAATTTCTTCTGGGTTGGTCTGTTCTGAGCTCTGACCGTTTATATTGGACGAAACAGATGGGGCAGAAGATCCTACCTGAATAGGCAGCCATGTTTCTTCTTCTC